CTGCCAGTGGCGGGGCGCAGAGCGCTGGAGGAAGGAGCTAGCTCGGGGCGAAGGCATAGGGGACAGCGGCGCCTCCTTCCCTGGCCGAGCAGCGGAGGTGCTCCTTGAGCCTGCGTTCCTGCTAGCTTTTCCTTAGCCAGTGCTAGCGGCAGCGAACGGGCAGCTAGCCCCGGCTGGCTCTGGGCAAACTTAGGGCGGCTTGACTGGGCTGAACTTGCTGGCTTGCGTGTGGTTTGGCGAGGAGCCGCAGCCCGGGCGAAGGAAACCTGGTGGCATAGGGAGCTTGTTCCTCTTTGAAGTCTCCCTGCCCGGAGCCCCGCAGCCGCTACCGAGCAGGCAGTGGCAAGCTCCGCGCTTTCCAGGCAGTAGCAGCACCAGGTGCGGGGCTGGTAGTGACGCCTAGGAGCCCGGGCAGTGCTTAGTGTTAGGATAGTGGGTGTCCGCGCAGCCTCTCGCCTCTTCTAGCTCCTGAGGGCAGGCTTTGCACGGCCCCTTGCGCTGCACGCTGAGCGGACTGTGCCACGGTTGCCGGTGTCCCTTAAGCTCACTAGGCTCCACGCGGCTTTGGGGAGAGGGGACTGTTTCTGGAGAGGGGGAGTGCGGAGCCCCGTGGAGCGCAGAGCAGGCAGGCTCCCCTTCCCGTGGTAGGCAGCTGAGCCCTTGGGAACAGCGCTGCAAGCATGAACATCCTGCTGGAGTTCTTCGTAGTCACTTTCAAAGTGCTCTGGGCGTTCGTGCTGGCTGCGGCCAAGTGGCTGGGCTGGCCCAACATCACCGGGGCAGGCAGTGGCCTGGGCCGCCTCTTCGCCCTGGAGTTCGCCCGGCGCCGGGCACTGCTGGTGCTGTGGGACATCAACACGCAGAGCAATGAGGAGACGGCAGGCATGGTGCGCCACATCTACAGGGAGATCTCCGAAGAGGCCACTGCCACTGCCCAGCAAGGTAAGTGCGCTGCCCGCGTCAGGCACGCATCACCGGGGCAGGCAGTGGCCTGGGCCGCCTCTTCGCCCTGGAGTTCGCCCGGCGCCGGGCACTGCTGGTGCTGTGGGACATCAACACGCAGAGCAATGAGGAGACGGCAGGCATGGTGCGCCACATCTACAGGGAGATCTCCGAAGAGGCCACTGCCACTGCCCAGCAAGGTAAGTGCGCTGCCCGCGTCAGGCACGGACAGCCGTGACGTATTGTGCCCCTCGGTCTACATGCTGATGTATCTTGTGGTCGTAACATAAGTGTTAGCTATATCTCACCCCCTGGTCTTCTCTTCCTTTCTTCTCTCCTCCCCTAATAAATGTAGGGACTATAAAACAGCCACTGCTGCATATCCGGGGACAGCGTGGCTCTGGGTTAGGGACTCTTGCTGGGTTAGTCTCCCATGAAGAAGTGGTATTACCTGCCAGCCTGCCTTTTGGGGAACAGAAGAATGGCACTAAATCTGAGGGTGCTCAGCTAAGTGGGAATGGGGGGTCAGTGAGAAGCACTGGGTCTGGAACTAAGGGTCCTAGGCATGCTGACGCACTCCCTGGCTTGAAGTGGTTTCCATTAAATACAAGGCTTACAGTCTGGTTCAGTGGTTTTCAGTGTCCACATTCTAAAAATTGTTCCTGTGAAGAATTAGTCCCAGTTTACAGTGTGTGGGGAGTATTTTGGTCAGAGGTGGCATCTGGAGATGGCATTTAGTTTTATGAGAAATTAGGAGGAATGTGTACAAAACTGTCTTTCACCTGCTTCTGGAAGGGTAGCTAAATGAGGTGTTTATAAGAAAATCACTTGCATTACCATAGTGGTGGTCCTCCTTCCAGGAAAGGAGAAATGTTAATTAGATGTGAGCATCCAGAGGGTTTATTTCTGGGATTCTTTAGCACTTGTGACCGTCTCCCCACCATCTGCCTAATGGTGATCAGGGGAATGGTTTGTGACTTAAACCAGATTGGATTTGGCATTGTTCTACAAACCCAGCTGTAAGTAAGGATTTCATCTCCCACTCCCACTTATATCTGACCACCCAAGAAGGAGTGGGGTTTGTGTGCTTGTATTCCTTGCTAGGAAGAGAGATTCATGAGTGAGAAAGCACAGACCATACTTCATCAGTATAACCTTTGATTCAGAAAGTTGCAAGTAAACCTGGAGCCTCAGATTTAACTTTTTCAGTCAAGAACAGTAAATATAGGATTTGTTTGCTGTGATGATGCCAAAGTCAATAGAACTGGTAAGGTGTAATAGATGACTGTTTACTCTTTCTGCTTAGTTTTTTGCCTGAATGTTGAGATCTAGAGAATGTAACCTTTTTGTTCTGTGTTCTTTAGCAGCTGGAGATGGTGAAGAAGAGGTGCTGACCCACTGCAATTTGCAGGTTTATACATATACCTGCGATGTGAGCAAGAGAGAGAATGTCTACTTGACAGCTGAGAGAGTCCGCAAAGAGGTTGGAGAGGTCTCTGTCCTGGTTAACAATGCTGGTGTAGTCTCTGGACACCATCTCCTAGAGTGCCCTGATGAGCTTATTGAAAGGACAATGATGGTTAACTGCCATGCACACTTCTGGGTAATTATACATTTGTTTATACTTTCTTTCATTTATTTTGGAAATGATGTTCTGTCACTTAGTTTTGCATATGACTGCATTTACATATGCAATCTACTGATCTTTTTGGATTATTATCCAGTAGGGTTTGAGATTGATAAGGGGAGAAGAATAATAGTTTTGTATCCACTATTTAATGGTAAAATCAATGTTTTACATGACTTTCAGTATAACATTTTCTATAGGAACAACTTCTGAATTATCTTGTCTGCTGCTCTAAATTAATGCTTTTTGCAGTCTTACAATAGCATTTTAGCAGCTTTAAGATGTTTTAACACTTGATGCTACAGTATTGATATTCACAAATGTCTCAAAAGCTACTTAAATACTTCTTAAAAGCCCTGTCTGCAATGTAGCTAAAGTTGGCTGTAAAGGCAAACTGTAACTTTTGAAGACTTGGCAGGGAGGAGAGGATACCCTCAAAGGAAAACCAAGCTAGAAAGTCTTTATCGGGAATCTTGCATATTTGTAATTATAGCTCATTCTCCAGAGTAAACCATTAGTAGTAAAATAGAACTACATGGATTCTTGTGTGATGTTGTTTTAGTAACCGAAGAATGCTAAATGAAAAACTTAAACTAGTTGTTTATACTCATATTGAATTTTCTTGCTCTCCTTTTGTGTACTCATTTCAAAGAATTTATATAAACTAGAATGTTAAAGCAGGGCATGATACCCCCTGGGCTGGTAGTAGCTGTCAGTCTAAGTCTGCAGCATTAAAAGAACTGTCCTTCGGTCCCTCAAATAACGTTATAAAATATACTTCCAAAACAATCAAAGATTTAAGCAATCTGAAATCTACTTCAGTGGATGCCTGATAGATTATTCCTGCATGTGTGATATTAAAAATGTGTGAAATACATGGTGTACAGGAACTTCACATGCCTCCTTACTATACCTTTTAACATAGGAGTTAAAATACTGTTTCATAACCCTAAAGGAGCCCCTTCAAATCAGCACTGTAAAACACTTAATGGCAGAGTAGTCTGTCTTTTTCTCAAGTATTTTAGATCTTGTCTAGAAAGAGTATTTATACTTCAGTGCACATCAGAGTCTGTGTTTGGAGTCTTAAATCTGAAAATTTACAGGCAAGTTGAAAGGTTTTAAAAAAAACTTGATACAATCCCCCAATAAAATCCAGAACATTCAACTGATGCTTACAAAAGCAAGGATGTATGCTAGCTTGAATGAGCTTTCTTTGTGTTTTAAGACTTCTTGGAAACTCAGTTATGATATCACTTAACATAAAATATGGGAGGATCCTAGAGTCAGCAGCTGTTCTTCCCTCAGGCATGTAAATCAAGACACTTATTTACAGCATTGTTTCAGAGAACTTGTTTTAAGGCACTTGTTTTATATTTGCTGAGTTCCTAACAGCTATGGAAAAACTAGTTAAACGTAAGCAGTTTTTGTGATATTTTTCCATTTAGAAAGAAACATATTCCAAACTCTTAATCTGTCAAACTTTGTATTGGAATGTTTGTTTTAAATTGCATTAGCCTAAAGGCTAACGCTACTGCAAGATCAGTACTGCTGATCTCCAGAACTTAGATTCACTTAAACTTTTAAGGAGCTGTCAACACCCTCTTCAGTTAACTGAGGAGTTGCTTATGTACACTCCTTTTACAGATCAAGAGATCAGCTTGTGTCCTATATTTCTAGGGGTTTTTTTTTGTTTTTGTTTTTTTTGAGAGGTGGGAGGCACTTGGCAGTTTTTGGTGCTGGCAGAGCTGTTCTTCTCCCTCTCCGTCCCACAAATGACTGGTCTAACCAAAAGTGGGTGGACTCTGTTTAAAAAATACTTATCAGATACCATCTAAAATAGCCAGATCTGGAGCCAGCTTTTTTAAGTATAAGCTAATGCTGACTTTAACTAGGACAATGTGTCTAGATGCGTGAAGTCAGACTTTTCCATGTCCTCTACAATGCTGGTTCAGCTGCAAAACCTGGTACTCCAGAGCATTGTATAGACTTATGACTGTCCTTGGAGGGTATTTAGTCAAAAAAAAAATTCATGAGTGGATTACAGTAAGACACATTCTTTGTCATGTGACTTAAAAGTACTGAAGCATTATTATAAAAGGAAAATTCTTCCCACTTTCTAAGCAACACTCTGAATTATCAATGCACCTGTGTATAAATAATCAAAAAATATTACTTTGGCATTATCCCTCTGAAATATTGAATTATGCCTCCTTTTTGTGGTTTGGTTTGGGTTTTTTGCTGAAAGCTGCAAATAAACTGAAAAAAAAATTGTAGCTGTTAATACAAAATTAGAAGGCGACTGTCACAGACTGGAAGTGCCTAAAGCTTTGGTGACATGCCTTGGCCAAAAGATACCTTTCGTTTCACTGACATGCGTGAATTGCATACTTTCTCTGGGCATTCTACATAGCACATGTCACTACTGCAGCCAGTATAAAATAATCAATATGTACTGAATATATATATTTCAGTGTTCAGATAATGAGATTGCTTCTAATATTGAACATCTTCAGAGGGGACTCAGCTTTCTGTGGTACAAATATGCATCTGTTGTAGCTCACAGATTTTATAAAACTGCACCATGTTAATGTAATATCTCTTCCCCTCACACCTTCTTATAGTTGTTGTGATTACCTAGTCATTCCTGTGTTCAGTTCCAGGAATTTACTCTTAAAGTCTGCTGGGGAATTTTTCTCTTCCAGGGATGATGGGCCAGAATTTGTGTTTGATAAACTTCAGGTCACAAAGCAAGATGTATCCTCTGTTTGATTAGCCCTCTTTCACTGATGAGTGGATCATTCCTGTCATTTGTCCACTTGTTTTTACTTTTTACAATAAAGACCAATATTTGATGAGACACCCTGGTGCCTAAGCAATGAGGAAGTCACACTAAATAGGAATCTTTCTTTTTTGTCATATATCTTTGGTTAAATATTATTCCATATTATCCATATTGGAGCAGTCTTTTAGATTCTTTTGAGACAGATTTTCCAGTACCTATATGATTAAAAGATTACACTGTTTCCACATCAGTAGACATTTGGTGTCTACTAGGAGTTTTTTTAGGCCTTGTTGCTAGAATGAAAACTTGAACAAATGCTCTAATATAGCAAAATACTAGAATCTGAAGGTGATCAGTCTGGTGGTAATTCTGCTATTTTGCCAAGTATAGGTTTTCCTAAACGCTCATCTTAAATTTATGTCTTCTAAAAGAATAGCATCTCACCCATCACAGGAAGATCAGCTTTCTCTTTGAGTAACCAAAAGGGGGAAGCAAAAGCTTTTAACTCTAGTTCTGGAGTAGTCCCAAAAGAAATATTCATACAGGATCCTACTTTGAAAAGACCTTCCCACATGCTTAATTATGTGCTGTGAGTACTCTGTGTAAACTTAAGCATGTATATAAATCTGTGGAATTGGAGCCTAAATGTGTGACAGACTTCTATTAATATAGTAAGCAAGTGAGAGAACCTACTGTCAGGAAGGAGATAACTAAAGAGAACTTTTCAAAGTAGGAAATTCATCCTGAGTAGGAAATTTAGGCTATGCAATACCTAAAGTCTATTGTGCTAAATTGTTCATTCAGGAAATTTAAAAGCCAGCCAGTACAAACTGTGTAGTATAGTGTTTAATAAATCTAATGCATACTCAGGCAGTTACTCTACTGATAGTACTTTCCAAAGGCTTGTAATGTGGGTATGGTTAATAGGAGCTAAAACTGTTAATCTTGTTCAGTCTTAAGAAATTTTTAGTACTGTTCAATAAAGCCCATGTTTTAGTTATAGAACGTGGCTTTTTTTCCTTGTAATATCAGGTTGAGATCTAGGCTAAACTTTCTCATTGAGATAGCGATGTACAAATGTTTAATATTTCAAATGATCTTTCTATAAATGTATATATGTGCTTAGTATAGGTAGTGTGCATTTATAAACACATATGTAAATATGCATGTCTGCACACAACCCTCAAAACATTAAGCCAGGAATATTTACATAGTGACTTATGGCAGAACTCTTTTTAAACATTTTCTTGGCAGTATTTTTACTATTTATGATTTACTTTAAATGCATAATCTAGCATCTTGACTGATTAGCAAGCTGTTTCACCATGAATCTATTAGCCAGGATGGGTAGGAATGGTGTCATTAGCATCTGTTTGTCTGGAAATGGATAACAGGAGAGGGATCACGTGATGATAACCTGTTGTGTTCACTCCCTCTGGGGCATCTGAGATTGGCCACTGTCAGAAGATCGGATACTGGGCTAGATGGATCTTTGGTCTGACCTAGTATGGCCATTCTTATGATCCATTGGGTTAGGGCAACTGAAGGCAGATGAACATGATGCTGCACATTACTCCCTTGGATGTCAGTTTCATAGTAACTGCTCCGCCTTAACTTCAGCCTAATGGCCATTGGCTTGGGGGAATTCTGAGTTTGACTAACTGGTGCTCTTTTAACTCTGTTTGTCTTGTGACTGACCCCGTCTCCCAAAAGAAAATCTGAATTCCAGTAAAAGTAGTTGAAAGGATTATATATTTGCAAGAGTTCCTATGTTCTTTCTGGTCCTTTTGTTTATAATAGTCTTGGAATACTGCACACTCATGTTATATAAGACATACCTACCCTTTTGCCAGTTACTGATGGCAGCAAAAAAGGTCTGGGTTCAGTTTTCTAGGGGTTTCCTTAAATACTTAAGTGACACGAGCTTGAATCTCCACCCTGGCAAACTATATACACCATCCTCAGTGTCCATGGTAAGCAATTTTCTCACTCATAAGCACTGAATCCAAGGATTACATCAAAGAACTTTTTTCCCCCGAGGGGAGGGTCAGTCAAATGAATTGGTCTTAACAGTAGTTCCAACCTCAGTCGTCCGTGGCTTTTGAAAATGGCTAATGTGTTCTGAGTACTTCCCTCCTGCCTGCTAATGGTTAAGTTTCCTGGTTTGCAGAAGTCCATGCTCTCTAGCAGATCA